GAATTGTATGATATGTGAATTACATCTCAACAAAGCTGTTACAAAAGACGTGCATTACATTTGTAACATAAATTTACAGTGCAAGTTCATAGTTTTTGGATTTTTTTTAAAGATACGGAATTGTTTTAGAGGTGAAGATGACGGTGTTTAGGCTTGGCTAGGCAGGGCCAATCCATGGAAAGTGGAGTGGCCTGGCTGACTGGCCTTCTCGCTTTGGTGTGGGAAGTGGGGTGGGTGCTTGGAGGACTTTAGTTCTAGGTTCTGTCACAGGAGGTGTAGATGTATGAAGGGAGCACAGCAACAGCAGGTCACAGTCCTTGCAAGCAAGGGGAAGGAGGCTCAGGAAAATTGCGGGGGCCCAACAGGCATGCTGGAGTGGGCAGCTGGCCCTTCAGTAAAAGCCCAGCCATACACACTGAGGCACAGAGGGGCTGCTAGGGCAAGAGGCAGGCCAGCTGTGACAACTGCGACACTTCGTTTAGGTAGGAGGAGTAGATGCTGAGACCCAAGTGGGAGTGGTCTGGCTGAAGGCTCCTGGTGCAGGTAGCACTGACCTCTGGGACTGAGTGAGTTAGTCAGGCCTTCTCAGAAGAGTCCAGTCCACCCAGGCTCCCCAGTTGGGGGCCCACCCATGGTCACCCGCTTGATTGCTAGGGATGTAAGCTCACGGCCTTACCAAGATGTGTCTTAAACCTCCAGCTGTGTGAAGGCAAGAAAGAGAACGAGAAGGAAGAAATTGTCCCTGTCAAGTTCCTTTTAATAGCCCTTTACTCCTCCCACTAGGAGTCCCTGGGTGGCACAAACGGTTAAGTGCTTAGCTACTAACTAAAAGGCTAGTGGTTTGAACCCACCCAGAGGCACACTGGAAGAAAGCCCTGGCGATCTGCTTCTGAAAGGTCACAGCCATATAAATCCTATTGAGTCCAGTTCTACTCTTGACACGCACGGGGTTGTCATGAGTCGGAATCCACCGGACGGCAACTGGTTTTTACTTTCTTTAACCCTCCCACTAATAGCTCCAGTCCCTATTATCTGTTCAACTCAATGCCATTTATGCCAAAGACTGATAGGTGCTGGTGCTGCGGACTCAAAGACCAAGAAACAGTCCCTGCCCTCAAGGAGTTTACAGTCTAAAGGGTGAGGCCAACTCATAAGCAGATACTTTTCAACATAAAGCTCACATCCCACCAGATCTGTCCGTCGTCATGCTTTCTGGGGGAGCCTCAGGGCCTGCTTCTAAGGAGCCCAACCTGAGGCACCTGGGTACCATGACAACTTAAACCAACATAGCCTGAAATGTTATTTAGCATACTTAACATTGCACCAAACCCAAACCAAACCCAATGCCATTGAGTCGATTCTGACTCATAGCGACCCTAGAGGACAGAGTAGAACTGCCCCATAGGATTTCCAAGGCTGTAATCTTTACGGAAGCAGACTGCCACATCTTTCTCCCACGGGGAAGCTGGTGGGTTCAAACCGCCGACCTTTCGGTTAGAAGCCAGCAGAGCGCTTAACCACCAGGGCTCAGAAATTAAAAATATGGACACTTTCCATAAACATTACTCAAAGGACAGTGGCTTTCTTTGATAGATTGACAGTTACATTTTCTAAACAAGACCTTTTAAACATATCTACTATAAAAACTTGTTCAGCTAACACAACTCATCGTATCCTCAGCTGCAAAACAAGTTAAGATGGTGTGTTGGGTCAGCAATGGACACATAACTGGATGTTTGATGCCAAGAGCTAAAAGCCTTCCACAGCATCTTTAGTCTCCAATAAGTGTGACATTTTGGATTCAACCTGAATGCTCGGTGATGGACAGATCTGAAGAGATGTGATCTGATTCCTGGGTTAAAGATATACTGTTTAAGAAACTGTACTTAAACTTTACAACCCTGAATATTTGGTTTAAATAAACGAAGATGTCATTTTTAGAACTAAGGTGTGCCTGACCCAAGCCATGGTGTTTTCAATCGCCTCATATGCATGCAAAAGCTGGGTAATGAACAGGAAGACCAAAGAACTGATGCCTTTGAATTATGGTGTTGGCAAAGAACATTGACTATACCATGGACTGCCAGAAGAACAAATCTGTCTTAGAAGAAGTACAGCCAGAATGCTCCTTAGAAGCGAGGATGGCAAGACTTCACCTCACATACTTTGGACGTGTTACCAGGAGGGACCAGTCCCTGGAGAAGGACATCATGCTTGGTAAAGTAGAGGGTCAGGGAAAAAGAGGAAGACCCTGAAATGAGACGGACTGACAGTGGCTGCAACAATGGGCTCAAACATAGCAATGATTGTGGGGATGGCGCAGGACTGGGCAGTGTTTCATTCTGTTGTGCATAGGGTCGCTATGAGTTGGAATCGACTCGAGGACACCTAACAACAACATAACTAGAACGAAGGGGAATATGGATATTAGCTAGGTAGCTAGCAAGTCTTGCCACTAAGTTCATACTGTTGCTATGAGTCAGAACCGACTTGATGGCACCTAACAACAAGAACTGTGTGTTGCACTATTTTAATCAGACATGAGGTCACATAATATAGCAAGGAGAGAGCCCTGGACAAGGCGCAGGAGTCCTGGATTCTGATACAGACTCTGTAACTCAATATCCAAGTCACCCAGACAAACCATACTCTCTCTGGGGGTTCATTTGCCACATTTGTTTAAAAAGAAAAAAAAGAGATCGTGGAGGAAAGGGAGAAGTTTGGCTAAATGATCTCAAAAATTCCTTCTAGCAAAATGTTGTTAGATTGAGTAAAGGCCATTCAAACTCAACATACAGATCTGTACAAAGTGAGCCAAACTGGTATTTTACCACTGAACCAAGAATTTTAATACTTAAAACGAAACCAAACCAGCACCCCCTCTGAACCCATCTGTAGCTCTAACATTAGGAATTCAAATCCAAGTATTTTTAGCCTCTGGAGTTTAAGCAAGCCCAACCTCGAGACCTTGTTTGCATTTTATAATTTGGCTAATTTAAGTCATAATACAGTCCCATCTTTGACAAGAAAGCAAAATCATATTACTAACATTTTTACGCATTTAAAGAACCACTTCCAATTGGAGACCTTGAACTACTGATTGCATACCAGGCAGAGGCTGATAGAATTTTACCCCTCCTTGGGTCTTTTTTTTTCTCCCTATGAAATACAACCCCCCAACCGTCAGAGATACAAGTTATTTCAGATGCCCTCAAAAGGCTCACTTAAAACAGACTGCCAGAGGGATTGCATCAGAAAATAGAAAAATCAATTCTAGATGAAAACTAAACACACAGAAGCCTTCAAATTGTCAAGACAGAACAGTTATATTAATCATTTAGTTATTTAAGCACAGGATAGAGGAGAAGGAGAAATGCATTCCTCATGACTCAAAATTGGGGTGGTTTTGTTCATCATGTCTGTGCTTGGTGGTGGTGGGGGCTTCCCCACTTGCTTCTTATAAAAGCAACTTCATGAGAAGCTCTAAGAAACTCCAGCTTCTCTGGAGCTTTGCAACCTTACTGCCCATTATCTCGTCACCGTATGGAGGATGTGGCAGCTAGCAATTAGATCAGAGCCTGGAAAGTCAGGGAGAGAAACTGAAACGAATTATTTTCTTAAAGGAAGTGGTCATTCAAAGGCAGAAAATCCAAGTCACCTACAATCTCCTTGTCCACGTTGCCAAGAGCTGGGTTGCGCAAGGTGCAAGAATAGGAGGGGAGAACTCGGCTGGGTTGGAGAGCAGGGTGGGAGCAAACTCCCGATTGTTAAATGTGAAAGTGGCCAGCCCAGGAGCCGAGAGCCGCCGCGGGAAGCGCAGAGCAGGCCCAGCATCTCCCAAGGATGAGTCCAGGTGAGGGCCGTGTTAGCGAGCGCCGCTGGCGGGGAGCCCTGGATCCGACCGGGCGTGATTCCTGCCAGTGGCTCCTCTGCGCGCAGCGGCCTCCTCCTGGGTGTCAGCGCGCAAAGTCGCAGCTTAATCCCCGCTCCCGCTGGATTAATTAGGGCCTCCTCAAAGCAGAAAGTTGACAGCCAGGGGTCTCTTTCCCAGCCGCAGGGTCAGGAGCCCCTCCCCGGACTCCACCAGTCACAAGGTCCCCGGCGATCCGCACCTCTCCAGTGAGCGCACTCCCCACCCGCCCCCGAACTGCACCCCTGGCCTGCTTCCCGGGACCCCTTGGTTACTGGCCGCCTGTCAGGTCTCTGGGCCCGGGCCGCTTCCTCCCGCTCCCGGGCCCTCGGTTCGCCGCCAGCGGCCCGGCGCGGGGCGGGGCGCGCTGGGGAGGCAGAGGCCGCGCGCTATTCCTGTCGCTGTGAGCTACCGGCATGTTATGTGCAGCGCCCAATCACGCCTCGGACCCGCCGCCCTGACCTGCGCTCCCCCCTTCTTAATCCCCCAGGCTTTGATTTGATCCTTCGCGCGGAACAAGCTCACCCCGACCTGCCCCACAGCCAGTTGTGTCCGGCCTCGGGGGTGTTCACAGAACCCGTCCTCCTCGTCCACGTCCGTGAGGTCAGAGCCGTCGCCCCACACTCACGGGACGTCCCGAGCCCGGGTCACATCTACGCATGTGGGCCGTCGGAGATCCAGCAGCCCCGGAGGCCACCCGCAGCTCGGCCCTTCCAGGTGATGGTGCGCGGCCACTGCCGCCCCTGGCGCGCAGGAGTGGGCTCCCCAAATTGGGCCGGGGAGGGGGCTTCGGGCAACGCGCTGGCAGCCTCAGCAGCCGCCAAAACCAAGACCCGCACACCCCGGAAGCCTCCACACTCCGCGCCTTCTGTGCCCTCCTCGCCCGCTACTAGGGGCTTTGAGAGGGGCACGGGGTCATCTGCGGACCTGGATGAACGAGCTCCCGGATTTAAGCTGAGCAGGCAAAAATGGTCCCCTGCTAGGGGTGCTGCGGCTCGCGCGGGGTCCTGGGGGCGCCGTGCCCTGGGATGCCTCCGGTCGCGTCCGGCTGGCCCCAGCCCGGGCACCGGTGCTTCCCGCCCTAGGCATCATGAGTTACTTCCTGTCTTACTGCAAAGCTCATGGCGGCGCGCTGCTCACCGGCTATCAGGCCCTGCGCGCCGAGGGCTTCCTGTGCGACGTGACGCTGGAGGCCGAGGGCAGCGAGTTCCTGGCGCACAGGTCGCTCCTGGCGTGCTCTAGTGACTACTTCAGGGCCCTGTTCAAGAGTCACACCCGGGAGTCGCAGGCGCGCGTGATCCACCTGCACGTGCCCTCTGCGGCCGGCCTGCAGCGCCTGCTGGATTTCATCTACACCGCCTGGCTGCCGCTTTCCATGGACACCATGGAGGACACGCTGGAGGCCGCCAGCTACCTGCAGGTCACCGAAGCCCTGGGGCTGTGTGGCCGCTACCTGGAGCGTCAGCTGGCCCCGGACAACTGCTGCTTCGCCGCAAATGTGGCGGCGCGCTTCGGCTTGGCGCACACGTTGGGCGAGGCCGAGCGCTGCATCGTGCACCACCTGCGGGAGCTGCTGGCGCGGGGCGCGGGCCCCGCGGGGCTACTGGAGCTCAACCCCGCGTCGCTGAGGGCCGTGCTGGGCGCCTCCGACGTGGCGCGGGTGCCCGAGGCCCAGCTGCTGCGCCTAGCGCTGGCCTGGCTGCGGCGGGAGCCGGCCGCCGAGCGCCAGGCGCATTGCTCCGCGCTGCTCGAGCGCGTCCGCTTCGGCCTGGTGCCGGTCGAAGTGCTGCGGCGCGTGTACTCGGGCTCCGGGCTCGCGTTGCCCCCTCGGGTCAAGGACCTTATCATCCAGGCCCTCAACTACCACATGGCGCCCTCCCGCCAGCCGCTCATGCAGGGCGAGCAGACCAGCGTCCGGAGCCCCCAAACCCGCATCTTGTTGGTCGGGGGGCGCAGGGCGCAGGTGGTGGTGATGGAGGAGGTAGCGGCCCCTCGGGGGGCAGCTAGGGGTGGTGGTGCCGTGGCGGAGCCCGAGGAGGAGGAGCAGGGGGAAGAGGAGGAGGAAGAGTGGGAGCTGACCCAGGACGTGGTCGCCTTCGACGTGTACAACCACCGCTGGCGCAGTCTCACCCAGCTGCCAGCTCTGCTAGTGGGGCACAGCGTGTGCGCCGTGGGCAACTTTATGTTCGTGCTGGGCGGGGAGAGCCCTGCGGGCAGCGCTTCCTCTCCCCATGCCGGCGCCCCGCTGGTGGTCACGGCCCAAGTGCACCGTTACGACCCGCGCTTCCACGCCTGGACGCCGGTGCCCGCCATGCGCGAGGCACGGGCCCATTTCTGGTGCGGCGCCGTGGGCGAGGGGCTGCTGGCCGTCGGGGGCCTGGGTGCGGACGGCGAGGCGCTGGCCTCGGTGGAAATGTACGACCTGCGCCGGGACCGCTGGACAGCGGCCGCGGCGCTGCCGCGGGCGCTGCACGGCCACGCGGGGGCCGTCGGGGACCGGAGCGTCGTGTACATCTCCGGGGGCAAGGCGGGGAGACGCGAGGGCGGCGTGAGTAGCCTCCAGGACGTGTACGCCCTGTGCCCCGGGGAGCGGGTGTGGAGCAAGAAGGCACCCATGGGCACGGCCCGCTTCGGGCACCACATGGCGGCGCTGAGCGGCGCGGTGTTCGCTTTTCTGGGGCGCTACGAGCCCTTCTCTGAGATCGAGCGCTACGACCCCCGCGCAGACCAGTGGACTCGGCTGCGGCCGCTGCCCTATGACCGCTTCTGCTATGGGCTGGCGGTGGTGGAGGAGACGGCGCTGCTGTTGGGTGGGCTCAAGTGGCGGGACTCACGCCAAGTGCCCACCTGCAACGTGGTGGGCTACGACTTGGATCTGGACCGCTGGGAGGACATCGGCTGCGCGCTGCCCTGGGCCTGGAGCGGCCTGCAGTGCGCAGTGCTGCAGCTGCCAGAGGGTATGGATGAGGAGAGGGAGGAAGAACCCGGAGAGGTACCAGATTTAGTGATGGGCTTAATGAGTTAGTCCAGTCTGCTCCCAGCGACAGAGGAGCAAGTCGCACTGGACCAGGCTTATAGAGCAACAGATGGGCTTTTCTTACGAATGGGACTCTGGGAGTAGAGTGGTTTCTGAAGGATAAGGAGGCGACCAAGGTTTTGGCCAAAGAGGAACATTGCCCCTTAAGCTGAGAATGGAAGGCAGGAGAGGGAAAATGGTTATATGAAGTAGCTTCATTGCGCTGGTGGTTTCTAGAAAGACTCATGCCGGGCTAGAGGTGGACTTTCCAAAATAAATATGACCTTGTTTTCTCTCTTAAGTTAAAGTGTTTACCAAGGTGCTAAACAATGATTACTTTTGTGCCAAAAAAAAAAAAAAAAAAAGCGGAGAAAGAAAAAGGTACCGTAAGAAGTTATATACAAAACCCAGAGTATTGTTGACTATAAATGCTGTAATATATAGTCCTAGAAGATGGCACTATCTGAACAAATAGTGAAGGGAAGGTGCCTTGGTTAAATAGCAGGAAATCACGGTAAGGAGAACTATGATTTTATGACCCAGAGCCATGGTTAGTTATAATTCTACTTTGATGGTTTGATATAAATACAGAACTGAGAGGAAAAATTCACTTTGTGTGTGTGTTTAGTGTGCATGGAAAGTATCCTAGGTTCATTTTTTTTTGTTACCCATTGGCACTTCCAGCCTGCTTTTGCTGTGGCTTTAGGCAGCTCCCAAACCCAAACCCATTGCCACAGAGTCGATTCCGACTCATAGCGACCCTATAGGACAGAGTAGAACTGCTCTGTAGGGTTCCCAAGGAGCGAAACTGCCGACCTTTTGGTTAGCAGCCAAGCTCTTAACCACTACGCCACCAGGGCTCATTGGTTTTAATTCATATTTAAGTAACCCTTAGCCATAATAATCAGGCTCCTCAGGTTAAGTAGGACATCTAACAAAAACCAAACCAAACAAAAACAAAAACCCATTTCTTTCATGCTCTTTAAATGTTCATTCTACAGACGTACTATAGTTTATATTTGTAAAAAAAAAATTAACTTATTTTTGGTGATTCTTCCCCTTCCCCCTGACTTCCCTAAAAGAATCATGGAAATCATAGGTGAAATTAAAGTTCGTATCGGGTAGACGGGAAACCAGCTTGATTTTTCAGGGTTTCAGAGAAGATACTTATATACATGGAACAGATGCTTCTTTGGGCATGTACCACCTATGGGGTGGCAAAGTCAGAACTCGTAGCCAGGCAGGATGGTGGCTGTGTGATTAAGTCACAAGAAATGTGTTAAGACTTTGTATGAATAAAGTAGGTGCTTTATAAGGATTCATTAAGAGCTGAATTTATTTGACTTCAGTTTACAGTGCTGCCTCTCTCCTAGATTTGAAACGAATGCAATAAAATGTACAGATATATAGTGGTAAAAGGTCTCTTTCATGCTAGGCTAGCCACGAGTCTTTTGAAATTCATTAGTTTAATTTTTACCATTTAATACAACAGAGCTGACTTTACAAAAGTAAAAGCTGCTTTGTAGCAACAGAGCTAGTCTTCCCTTCAACTGCTCGCTGTTTACAGGGCACAGCCTGGCCACTGTATACATGACACAGCCATCAGGAACAGGTATTTTATGTGAACACACACATTTGGTCTAGTAAACAAGAAGTCTAAACACCTGTAACAAGCGCACTTCATTTTAGGACAAAAGGTTTTGTTTGCTTGTTTTTTGTTTTTGGTACATATACAAAATCCCACAAATTTAATGTGCGTCACTACTCATGCAGTAAATAAATGTTTTTACAAATAGTTTTTTTTTAAACAATAAAAATATTACACTGGACCCCAAATTCCATACAAACATTAATACATGATTTCTCATCCATTTTGACTAAATATAGGATTACTGAAAATGTGCTGTAGAAAGGCCACTCTCCTGTACAGTTGTGCAAAGTCTGCAAAACGATAGTCAATGGTGGTTTCAAAAGCAAAGAAAAAGAGCCTGGCTGTGGAGTTTTTACTTCCTCCTCTACAGCAAAAAGATTCACTGGCGTATATCTGAACTCTTAGAGATGAAAGTACATTCACTGAGCTGTACAGGCAACAGTATAAAGCTGATTAAAAGTAGTTTTAGGATACAGAATAGTAAAGGAGGGTCCCTTCCTCCTTAAAAAACAGCAAATTGTGACTTGTACGTTATGCAGCCAGACACTAAAAAGCAGCACGGTCATTATCATGCTGTGATCACTTTCAAAAATGAGACGTTTATAAATGGCAATATATGAAGAGGACTTTTTCATAGACTTCATTTGCTCTATAGGACAATTCATGAAGCTAGGAAAAACCTCATTGTTTCTCTTGTATCTCTGAGTAACCATCGCCCTTTTGCTCCTTAGGAGAGAAGTACATTTTTATTTTTCAGTATTGTTTCCTCTATTACAACACACATCAGCGTGTAACTAAACATATGTTACTTCCCTGCCTGAAGTAGAATTATGCAAGTTTAATTAATGGCATGTCGTTCTGTGGTACATAGGGTCGCTATGAGTCTGAACTGACTCGACGATACCTAATAACGACGATTGATGGACTGAGGGAAAATCAGAAGCTAACTGGAAAGTTGATTTGTTTCAGTTTATACCTTGTAGTATTTTAAGAGTTGGAGTTTGAAAACATGAGTTTGGGCTGATTGAGATTATATATATATATGTATATGTATATATATATGTATACACACACACACACACATATATATATATAGCTGCTAGCTGCCTTTCTGGGTGAGTTAAGTCTGTTTTAAAAAAATCCATTCTCAAATTCCTCTGTACACAATCAGCATTTCATCACTACAAAAATAAAGGAAGATTTAAACCAAGAAAATAAAGCAGCTCTATCTTCAATTTTGGTCTTAGTTACAAAAACATCTTACAAAGCTTTGCCCTGATACACCATTAAGTGTTCTCATAGATTTGGAATAGTATTTTCGTTAACTAGCTTTCACAAGTTAATAGACTATTAAGACGGATATTAGATACCTGAACTTTTCTTATGTCGATGCTTTTCTATTTTGCTTAACTCTTGTATTTGCATATACATTTCACAAAAATAAAACTACAGCATTAAACTTTGTGCAATGTTTAAGAAAATTCTTAGAACACTTTAATAAATATAAAAAAGGTTTAAATTCTTTCCCACCCACAAGGATGTCTGCACCTGAAAAAATGTGATTTACTTTTGAAGTCTTGTTTATATAAAATTAACTTAAAGGGAGAAAAGATGACCTTAGATATAAAACTGCCTTTTTTGCGGTTTTACTACTTGAAGACCACCTGTCTTCAGAATTGTTTGCAAAAGTTAATTTTAAGTCATTAAAGACAGTTTATTTTGCACATGGTAAACACAAGCTGAGCACTAATTGCATATAAAATATACAAATGCTCATTAAAGACAGTGGTATTGTGACCTTATATAGTTGGTTTCATATAGTTCAGTAACAATAAAGTATAGCTTGTGAAGTGTCCCACACATGGATATAAAAACTACCTTATATACTTGTTCAAAGTACCAGAAGGTACCAGATAGCCTGAAGGCAGAATACACTTACACATGCGTTTCAATGTAAGAATGAGTGTGTGTTAGAGAGGAAGTGATTACATCTACTTCAGAGGAAATACTCAGTGGGTCATTTGAGGTGGTGTTTTGACAGATATCCAAGAAAAGGTCGAGGTACATCTGCTTCCATTGTTGGAATTCTTTAGATGTCAAGTCTGGATTGTCTAGAACTTTATCAATAATGGCTACTTCCCCTTCTCTGGCCTGAAAAGCAAAACAATTCAACAGTTAAGATGGGGACAAACATGTATTCAAGTTTAAAATAAAAAGCTAATCTGCAAAAAATAAAGTGTGTTGTCTTATAAGAAACAGCTCTGGTATACGCAAACTTGGCTATTTAGACTCATATCCTAGTGTACTTTTTTCTACACCTGAGCGATGCCTCATATTGCCCACTGTCTGTGATTTATTTTTTCTTCTGGCCTGTCCTCTCCCATCTCTGGCTATGGAAATTTTGCTCATTCTTTAAGATCCAGTTCAAACGCCTCTTATTTCTTGATGCCTTCCTTACACAATTGGAAAAAAATGTTTGCTCCTTCATTTATGTCTCCATAACACGTCATTATTGCCTCCATGACTGGACTTAACCACATTCTGTCTGTTGAGTTATTTTTGTACCTGACCTACTTCTCTGCTACATGTGGTAAGCTCCTCATGCTTGCCTGAGAGTAGACATGGCCCTCCTGTTACCACACATACATAATTCTTGCTGTGTCAAAGTTACGGCTCCCTTCCTGTAGTACTATAGGCCTGCAATGGAAAATGGCCCTCCCTTCCATTTTGGAGGCCAGGTTTCAGTTGAAGGATAAGCTTCCTTATGGTACAGATCACCACAGCACAACTCTTGCCTGTGGAAGAAGTGAATCTCCCAGGTAGAAAGTGGAAAGGAGTAGGGTTTAAGACAGTCTGACAAGTTCAGTCTTGTTTATGGACCCAAGGAAGGGGTAGGGAGGTCTAGGAAATATTCTACAGGAAGTGAGAAGACACAACTCTGTGATAACCAGAGTTGGGAGGGAAAGAAGACTAAGAGGGAGGCTAAGAAGTTATTCTGGTCCTTGGGGCTATAGGTAGCTTGGTTAAGACAAAGTATATAGGATGGGACTGACTGGGGTTGAGAATTGTGTGAATTGTCCGTGCTGGGATCAGAAATCTGTGCTTGGTGAGGGGGCTGTTAAAATTCCAGAACCTAGTCAGCACAACTGGACTAAACCAAAGCTAAGAAGTTTCCTGAATACAATCAAACACTTTGAAGGACAGAGTAGCAGGGGTAGGGGCCCAGGGACCATGCTTTCCGGGGACATTTAGGTCAATTGGCATAACAAAGTTTTTTTAGAAAATGTTCTGCATCCTACTTTGGTGAGTGGCATCTGGGGTCTTAAAAGCT